CCCCGGGGCTCTGCGCCGCGCCAAGGGGCGATGGGCGGACAGGTCCGGGTGCCCGTCTCCTGCGCGCAGGGCTAGCGCGGCCCTCCCAGCCCACCTCCTCAAACGGGAGGGAAACAAAGGCGGCGAGAGAGGCAGGGAGAGTTGCCTGCAAGTTTAGCGCCTTTCAGTCGTGACTCGCCGAGATAAATGATAGTTCGGAGGTGCGCGCCGTTAATCAACGCTACGGCTGCCTTACAGCGTGTGCAACCCGCAGATCATTAGGTTAAATGGAGGACATTCGTGTCCTTCCCGAATCAATGCAATTATTGTTGGCAACAAGGACAACAGTTGGAGCAGCAGCACTAATTTTACTAACCTGCTATTAATTATGGTGTCCCCCACGCCCCAGACGGCGTTTATAACCCGCGGGAGCAAGCGGTGCTGGCTGCTTCTGGTTTAAAACGGGAAAAGTTGGAAGCGGAGTGCCTGGTCGCGTTGGAAAGTGTTAATCAGTAGGAAAGAGTGTGATCAGTGGAGCTGTTCACTTGAACGTCACTCTGGTGCAGGGGTTAGTGAAGTGACTGTGGCGCCTGGGGACCGGCGGCGCCGCGCAGGTACTGCGCGCCGAGAAATGCCCGCGCTGCTCCGCGCAGCTCCCCGCGGAGCCCGCCCGCGCAGCCGACAGGAGCGAAGCCCTGCCATGGCACAGCCATCGCTGCGAGGCTTTAGCCGACGCCTGGCGTGATCGCAGGTAAACATTTTCTCCTCGTTTTGGTGGCGATGTTTGTGTGTGTGTGTGTGTCTGTGTGTGTCTGTGTGAGTGTGTCTGTGTGTCTGTGTCTCTCTCTCTACGGAAACGGGGGGAGGGGGGAGCGGTGGGGTTTATCCCCCCCTCCCCTTCGGAGCCTGCTTTAGCAGCAAGGCAGCTGAAAACGAACTGCTGGAGGGAAGAGAAACTATCTGTGATGAATCATTTGGCTTTGTGCAATCTTTACCTAGGACAGAGGGCAAATGTATTTTAACATGTGTGTTATTTCTTGGGAAGGGGGTGTGGATATGATATTCAGCGAGCGCTAAGGTAAGGTATCGAGTCAAACTTTCTGGATTTTAAGGCAAACTTTAACAGGCATAGAATTTGACCTTGTAAGTAGGAAAGTTTTATCTTCGCAGGGGAGTATGTTCAAGCTGTCAGCTGCCAGAGAGCTCAAAGGCGGTGGCGTTTGAATGCCGCCGAGTCTGCGGCACTGGGGGTACAGGGCTGGAAGGAGAAACCTCTTACCAACCTTTGCTTTGCTGGTGAAAGCGTAGTTGCGATGCTCTGCACCGAGCAGGTAAACGTGGGCATGTTGTAGGGTCCGTTCAGCCATCCAGCAGCTGCCCAGGTCGCAGCGTTTGCTTCTCTTGCTGAAAAGTTTTGGGGAGGGGGTGGGAAGAGAGAGCGCGCGTGTGTTGGCTCCAGTTCTTAAGTGTGAAAAGTTAATAAATACGAAGAACAGAATGAGCATGGGAGGCCTTTCTGCTTTAATCTAGATTGTTTGCCAAGGGGATTGAAGACTTGGAGAATGAAAGCATTCGGAGGGATAGCTTTGAACGCCTGATTTTACGTGCAGTTGTAATCTGAGTCAATTAATTAGCGGCGCCTTCTTATGCAAGTGTGATGTTTGTCATCATAGCTCTGCCGATCACAAGCCATTGCGTAGGTCTGTGCAGGTCGGCAGTGTCAGCTCGCTGTCCCTCGATTCAGAGTGCAGGAGATGCAATTACACCTCAGACGGGCTCAGGAAACATAGTCGTATTTACTGTCGATAGCGACTTTATGGGAGCTAATCTACTTGAAAATGTTGTAGGCTGCCCTCGGTTCCATGTCAGATCCCAAATGGGCAACGTGTAGAGCTTCACAGCGTTTGTCAGGCGGTGTCAAGGTTGCTTTAAATCTGTAACGTGAAAACAAAGCGAAGTCGACTAGAAAGAGCTCGCTAAAGTCTGTTTAGCCCATAAGCAAATTCCGTCGCTGAAATATTTCCAGGAGTGGCAATAACCCCTCCAAAGGAGGAGGCGATGAAAATGCAGATAGTAAAAGTGTAGCTGCATTAACTGCCTCTAGATCATGTCCCTGAAGACGTCCATCAAAGCGTTAGTCCTGAAGAGGCTCTCTGGTTTACCTGCTGTGGCCTGTTCCAGCACCACAGCGTTTCCTTCTCGTTTCATGCTTTTACGATAAAACTTGTATGAACGTTGGCTCCGGGTTCTCGGGAAAGAAACACACAACTCTCGGAGATAGACTTGGTCGGGCTTTGGCTGCAAAATCCCCACTCGTCTGGGTGTGCGGGCTGTCTCCCACAAGAGGGGAACTCTCCAGCGTTTCCTATTGATCGCGATGGGTTTAGTTGCTCAAACTTTGGAGAAGGCAGCATGTGTTTCTCTTTCGCGAAAGCTGTTAACTGCTTTGTACAGGAATCAGGGCTTTGACAAGGATCAATTTTTATTGCACAGCAAAGACTTGCATTTTCCAAATGCTTAAGGATATAGCCCACAGCATTAGACGTCTTTGCTTGGATTTGAACCGTGTTACGTTTTTTGTGTGCAAGGGCCGCAAAGGTGATTTTTAAATCATTGTGGGGCTTATTGCATGTTTCTGTGCGGGCACCAACAATTAGAGACGAAATATAATTGTGTTGAGTTTCTTATCCACAAAGGGCCCCTGTTTGTAGATTGCAACTGAAACAAGACATGAACGCTGCAGAAAGATGTAACGTCAGCTTTTAGCATTTCAGGTTATTAAGTTGTTTTGTTGTTTTTTGGTTTTGGTGGGATTTTTTGTGGGTTTTTTTTGTTGGTTTTTTGTTTTGTTTTGTTTTATGACTGCTTTCTAGGGAATACAGATTGGAACTGGCACAAAGCTGACCAGAGCAGAGCAGGCAGGCTGCAAAGAAAAATGACAAATAATTATCATGATTAATACAGGAAAGTTCGGTGCAAAACTGGGCACCAGAGTACTTGCATGGTGCAGTGAAAGACAACTGTGATATATAAATAGACAAGGACTATAAATATTGAATTTCACCTTGTATTTTAAAGTTTAATAGACTCATCTAAATATCAAAACCTGTAGTGTTCCGTGGGCCACTGCGGAGTTGACATCTGCAGTATTCTCAAAAGAGGGAAAGAAAAGGGAAAGAAACCAACCTCGCCACACCAGGACAACTCCCAAACTGTAGCCTGGAAAATTGGGAGGACTTCTCCAGGCGGTTCTCTAGCTCTCCCGGCTAATTATAGTGCTTTACACCGAGCCGCTCTTGAGATAAGCGCAACTGTTTTCTTCCCTAGCACCGGTGAGTTATACTCCAGGGCTTAAATAAACATCCCCCAGCGCAATCAGCGCAGGAGGCAGAGCGAGCAGCACCAAACGCTGCGTGCAGACCATTGTGTAAACACCGGGTGTCTTTTCTTCCCAAACAATGCAATAGACGGCCAGAACGTCGCGTGGAAGGAAGCTGCTCGGAAATAGGAGCTAAAAGTGTCGTCATTATCCCCGCAGCACCGGGGTAGCGGGAGGAATAAAGGAGCATTTCAGTTAGAGAGACCCAATGGCTAAGTTATTAATATTCCCAGAAAGAAGAAGGTATTAGCATTTCAGGTGAGGAAAGAAAAAAGCACTTTCTTCCCCTCCAAAAATCAATACAGAATTCAAACCCGATTATTAATGTCATCTGATTCCCTTTCTTTATACGTTTCTCCCGGCTACAGATACTGAGCTGTCAGGATAATTTGCATGTACTGTATCTGATATCTTTTATTTGCAAACACTCTAAAGCGCCATAAAACGCCTCTCGTTGTAGTCTAACTCAATCCGAGAACTAGTATTTTCATCTGTAAATTAAAGCAATTACGCAGCAGATATTATATTATGTGTACTGTGGTCTCCAGATAGTCATCAATCACCCTCAATCGAGCTGTCAGTGTGGGCAGATTCGTTTCTGGGAGGCAGTTTTCCAGCTGGGGAGAAGAAGAGAACATCATCATTAATTAGAGTGTGACCCTGGGGCTATTCACATGTCTGAACCCAGGGATCTCTCTGAGCAAGTCTGCACACCACGGAGCAACGTTCAACGGCACCAGCAGCCGAGCTTCAGCCTCGGAGCTGACTCCTCAGCTTCCTCCACCTACCCTAACCCGGCGGTAGCTGCTCGTAGAGGGGGAGGCTGAGATGCTGGAGCCGCCGACCGGCGGCCCCAGCATCACACCCCCTCCCCCGACGGCCGCTACCTCCGGGCGGCAGCACGGAGCCTGCCCCC